TATTATTGTTTTATTAAAGCTGTTTTAGTTGGTTTGGTTTTTTTTTCGAATCCGTAAGTGTCTCTGCCTTATTCCCTCTCCCCTCCCTTTTGGGGAGGAAGAGGAGTTAACAGAGAGCATCTGTCACTTGTTTAGTGGCCTGCCCAGCCCTAACCCTTAAGTGGTTGAGTTTCAAGTGAAATTTTCAGTGGGTCACATGTCAGAGTGGGGAAAAAGAAGTAAAGAAACAGACAGGTACTTTTTATGTGATGGAACTGCGGACCTATGAGGAAATTAAAGAAAACCTTCATGAGAAGGTAAATTTGAGGTTTTCCAGAAGCATTTCAGAAGAATTTGTCAGTGCCTTCAGTGGCACAAGAGTCTCTAGAGAAGGGCAAACTTCCTAGACTTTTGCCTCTGACACTATCTGTGAAGCCCAGCCAAGACAAAACAATGCTGGGGAAGGAAAGGTGCCTGGTTAACTGGATGATGCAAGAAGCAGGTTTGTGCTTTAACACACCTATAGCAAATAAGCATATTTGCCCCATTCATCCCAGAAACCAAGATGTCTTTCAAGAACTATGTCATGTACACCAATACAGAGAGCAGATTTATTCTCTTACCTTTGTTATAAGATAGCCTGCCCAAGTTGCCGACCATTCTGCAAAATTATCACCTAATTTGCTTAAATAAATTGGTTTCTTCATCTTAGACCAATTTACAGCCTTTTGATAACTCTTGTACCTGCAATTTTAAAATATCTATTTAACAAAAGCAACTTCTTATTTAATATAATAAAAAACAATAGCACCCCATCAACTATAATGTTTCCTAACTGGAATCATATTAGGCTTCATTCTACTGCTTCTTAAAATGAAACATGAAATACAAACAACCTAATATGTTACCAGAATTAAGTATACTTCAAAGTGCTGTGCAAATCAGTTTTAAGAAATGCAGTGTGATAAATGTTTGAGTAATATATTTTTTACAGGAAAAAGCCAGAGCATATATGATAGCCAAGAAATGTCAGAAAAGTTTGTTTTCTAAAAAGGTAAAACTTATTAAAGGCAAGTATGACTGTCTGTATGAGGAATCAGAAAGGAACATTGTTGATTATTTAAGACATAATGCTAAAAATGTTTAGAAAATTTGAAATTAATTCAACAAAATAAAAATGTCAAATTAAAACACCATGGGTTCTTCCCACTTCTATAAAGGGTAGCAGTAAACGGATATAAATGGATTTGATTACAAGCTAAATCCTAGTGAGACTTTGTAGAGAGGAAAGAAAACAGAAACAAAAGCTTCAAAACATCATATAAGACAATGCTCTAGGGACAAATGGGCAAATCTGGGTAGAGTATGAGCTCAGAATTTTGCTTGTTTGATTTATAGAGAACTATGTTCAAGGAAGTGCTAATTCAGCTTCATATAGGAAGACCTTATTTGAATTTTTCCATATACACATATCACTCCTTCTTCGCAGAAGTGCCACAATCACAAAACCAAATAAAGTTATTGCTAGCCTGAAGAAAAAAAAGTAGTTTTTAAAGTTGTCATATACCGTGTATTTAAATGAGGTTCCAAGATCTCCTGCACATGCTCCGGAAACCTCCTCCAAAGCCTGGAGCCTGCGCAGTCAGAGCTTGCCTCTCTACAGTCATAGATAGACAATAACTCCTGAAAAACCATGGTTTACACGACCAAGTTAGCACTGAAAATATTTGATGACCACAGTAGTAACAAAAACTGATGTATATACAGAAGTGATGCATTAGAAATTACAGAATGCTTCATTCAGAAATTATAACTGTAGAACTTTCATCCAACATGGCTAATCCACTATTCCTAGACAGTTAATTTCAGCTAAGTATTAATTCTCCAGATTCTTCAATTGGTGTTTAGACCACATTATCTCATATTCTTCACATCTGCCAATAAACCAGGACTAGAAGCTGGTCTGATTCCTCCTTGTGGGTAAATTTTCTTAGTCCACTGACTACACAGGGCCACTTATTTTCTCCTGGGACAAAGAACTGTCCTGAAATTTTCACAAAGGTATTAAACAACAACAAAACCAAAAACACCACCAAACCAAATCAACCACCAAATCAGCTTGGGCTTGGCAAACGAGCACGAAAGACTAGACTCAAAAAATAAGGGCAGGTTCCTTTTCCCTTGCTTGTTAACAGTGTAAGCAGAAACCCTCTTAGGAATACTTCCTGCTTTACGTTTCTGCCTATGGAACCTGCACCATTTCTAAGTCAGTCTCAGGATCACTGCTTGAATCACTATGTATGGATTGTCAGTTACCTCTCTGAAACATCAGATCTCTCCTAAAATACTGTGACACAAAAGCACGCAAATCTTATTTGACAAATTCATAGAACTCTAAGTGAGCACTGAGGAGTTTTAAAAAAAACCTAAATAACTTTTCATCTTGTTATTTAAAGCTGTATTGGATGAAGTTTCAAATACTTAAACATCGACTTAAACATGTAAATTTATATTCATAATTTTAAGTTCATTGTGATAGGAAATAATCTGTGAAGAAAAAACAGGATCTACCCACATAGCTCACCTGAATTGCATATGCTGCAGAATCCTGAGCACGAACATTATCAGCATAAGCAAGGAATGCTCTGGTCAGTTCCATTAATAATCCATAGGCAAAATTTGGATCCTCCACACCAGCCTCAATCATAAACAGAATGTCAGTTTTATTAGAACAGAGTGACAGCTGTATCTTTGATCTCTCTGAAGCCTCTTTTAATCACTTCAAAGCCTGACTCTAAACTGTTTTAGATGAGAAAGCAAGTATAGATTTTCAAAGGGTCCAGAGATAAAAGGTTCCCTACTCCCAAGTACTTTAAAAAAAACCCTTAATGCTGAACAGAACACTATAGCAACACTTCTTACCACAAATGTAAAATGTTTTCCTTGAGTTTCACTTGTTGAAAAATCAAGCCTACCGGGATCTATAGCTCCCAGTTCACCCAAACATTCTCCACAAAGTAGACGGGCTTGGGAATTTGCATCCTGGCAGCCGATCAGAAGTACAGTTACCAACTGGGAGATGACTGGCTCCACAGTTTCACTGTCTGTTACAAACTTTATCAATTTTTCCTAGAAAGTTGAAAAATAAAGATGAGTTATTCTAAAATCAGTTATTCTAAAACCATGTTTATGGTAATCTTGGAAATCTTCTATCTGTAATTCAATCTCACTTCATGTTTCATTTATCCGTGACTTCAAGTTAGTAACTCAAATACTGGCATTTTGTTACTATAACCCAATTGTTCTAAATTGCTAGTTACCCTAGGAAGGACTAAACAAACTAAGAGGGAAGGATTTGAGCCTCAATTAACAATGCTGTCATGGCCAATACTGTATTTCATTATCATACACCTCTCTAATTTCATTTTCTTTCCGTGTCTTACCAAGAACCTCTCGTTTCCTACCCTAATTTCACTAATTTGCCCCTGTGTTCAGATAGTTCCTATTTCTTTCATGTAGCAATTGTCAAATCTTCTGGTTTCACTGCCATTTGAATCCTTATGATTTCCCATTTGCCCACTATTTCTTTGCCCTCAGTCCTACAAAGTCCAGGGTTTCAAATCATTTTATCAATGGCCATAATTTTAATTGGATGTCCCTTCTTTTTTATTTTAGTCCAGCTTTTATTCCTCAGTTACGCATTTAGTCCAAACACAGGAAACAAATTCTCTTAATAATGTGAAGATGTTTGCCATTGTTATGTTTAACGAAAACCGAAAACACAGTGAGCACAACAGAGCAAATAGTTCCACAAGCTATGGAACTAATAAAGGTTGATTTGTCTCAATTATTTTGCTAGACTTCTAACTAAGCAAGATATGGCATGATTTTGCTGACCTGAGCTGCAACAATTACTGGTTGGCCAGGAATATTCACAAGTTGTTTTGTTCTTTTAGCTATGATTTGTTTCGAATTTCTGACTGCAGAGTGTCCCACAATTGTATAGCTACTAAAGGAACAGCTTTTTTTTTTTCCCCCTTCTAATACTTCACATACACTTCTCTGGACTAGTAACCACACAGATTTGTAAAGCAGTATATTCAACTTGTTCATGGCTATAAAGTTTGTTTGAATATGATCAATGGATTCAAATCCTGGAGGGTGGAAGGCAAAGAAGGAAGAGAAAAAAAGACATTAAAGATATGAGGTGGTCACAAACAATTCTTTCAGATATCACACTCACACACAAAAAATGATGGCTTTAATGTATTAGTCTCCTGATGCAAAAGCCATACATGTTCTAACGGAGAACAAGCCCACACAATAGACTGCCGAAATGGACTTTTTAGATACATCTTTCTGCAGAGTTAGGGAAAAAATAAATAAATTACTATAGCTTTGCTGAATCAGCATCACACAATTTGAAGGATTTGACAGTCCTCTTACAACGAGACATGATGAAAAAGAATCTCTTCTCCCTGTTATATTAAGAAACAGCTACCTTCATAAATTGAGGAGATTAACATAGTTCATGTGAACACCCAGGAACAGTAAGAAGTTTTAGTTTGTTGGTTCAGATGCTACTTTGACTTATTTTTAATTCCATTGAAGATTTTCTATACCTGATTTCTATATAATGTTTCTTTCAGGCTTGTAAGGGCATGAATACGAACGTCCACATTCTCATGCTGAATAGCTCTCATAGACAGCTGTAGTGTTGTCTGCAAGTCGGTGCTTTTGGAGGATTCCTAAGCATATGACATATGCAGATCGAGTTAACTATAACTGAAACATAGTTAAGCAGTAACTCAAAGAACGCAAGTGGCAACACATACAAACAACTACCTATCTTCCTGTATCTGTATAACACTGACTTCCAGTCTGTTTTTTAAGATGTCTTCCTCAAAAAGGTGCCATATTTATATTTTTGTATAAATGTAATTAAGATATAAATAAAAACTAGTAAATCTGAAGAAAATACTTCGTTTTGAGTACCTCATTACCTAAAAATCAAATTAATTTCTACTTTTGCTACCTCATTCCCACTAAGCAATTGCTACCTCCCATCTATTACCTATCCATTCTCAGGGCAAGCAAAAGAAATCGACCAGAGTACTACTAAACATAGACAAACTTTGTTACCTTTAAAAAGAATATGGAAGAGGGATCAAATTAAAAGTAGCTTCTCTTGTAACAATCATTTCCATAGCTAATACTGCTACTTTTTATTCTTATCTCTTTAGTCACGAAAAGATGAAAAGTCAGTGTTCAGGAGATGCTACATAAACAAGCATGTTAAACTTCAGCACATTTGACTCCTAAAGAAGGATCTGATCCTGCTTCAGAGTATTCCTGCAATACACAAATTCTGTTTTGTTGTGGAGGCAGACAAATACTATTTCTGCTTAACAATAAACTTTACATGTGTTCCTTGCCTGTTGTGAATTCATTTAATGTACCAAAAACAAGGAATTAAATACAAGAAACTATACCTTTCTGTCCTCCTGAAGGACGATCTGAATTTCTTTTAGTTCTGGAAGGTCAGGCAAAAAATATATTTCATGTAAAAAGTCCCGTACTGCATCCCTAATAGTTACCAAAAAAAATTGTGAAGAACACAGTAAGCATTGGCTGGATCAGAAAAATCTTAAAAATCGAACAAAAGAAAGCAATGAAATGTCATGACTAAAAGAACAAAGGGTTGAAAAGTAGAAAAAGGTGAATTCTATTAATTTTTTTATCTAATTAAATATATGTATTAAACAACCTTTTTCTCTTGTTACTCAACTAAACCACAAGTATTTCCCCTCTATAACTTAATGCTCTTTTAAAGATAGCTCTTTCCAGAGCTTTCAAAGTTGCCATTCATCATCAGGATTGGACATTGGTCAACAGCTGAGAATAATCCCATTTGATGTGAATTCAGTTCCAGTTTTCCTCATAAGAAACTACAGAACCAAAAAAAGAATTCTGTGTTCCTAACACGAACTATTTTGCTACTATGGGCTTCTACAATAGCCTTATTATTCCTGTTCTCACCTTTTATTTGAATACAGTTGGTAATGATATAGTGCAAGAAAAATGAAAATCCAACAAAAGTAATCAAGATATAAACTTATCACCATTTCTAAAAAAACAAACCAGAAAAATCTCAATGTAATTTTAAGCTACAAAACATAAGATGAAAAGGAATGAATACTCAACATTGTCTTCAAAAAGGTTAGTTCACCAAAATTTAAGTCTTTTGTATTAGACGTTGATTGTTTTTTTTCAGTTGATGTGATCAATTGTGAAGACGATGCATGAAATCTTTCGCAACATTAAATCACATGTGCTTCATATTTATAACTAATTATTGAGGGAAACAAATAAAGAACTTGCTTCCTCTCTATTTCTAACGCTCTACACACCTCTCTCTAGCTTAAAGTGAATGTCAGCAATCACTGTTATTCTGTCCATGTGCCCTGTAGAGGGAAGTAATTTTCTGTACTAGCAGAAAAAAAGCAGAATCAGAAAACTTGGCAGGGCTAAGTATCTGAATGGCCTGTAACTTGGCCACAGCATCATATATTTTTATAAAGACAATATAAGAACACATTTTTAGATGAGGCTATCACTTCTCAAATTTCAAAATCTCATTCCAGTTTAAAGAAGTGAGACTTTTATAGAACAACATACTACTTTGCAGAAAAATAAGCTCTCATCTCAGTAATGGACAACTTCAATTCCTATTATAAGATTTAATCCATATAACTCAAAATACTTTGTACAGTACCTGTTCTCAACTATGAGAAAGTAAAATACTGCTGTAGTTTCCTTCGGTTGGATATGTATAAGGGGCAATAATGCTACTATCACATGACTAAGCAAGGAGCCAAGGTATGAATGGTCCAGACTTCGAACAAAACAGTCCCAGGCTCTAAACAAGAAAAGACAACAATAGTAATCAATGATTCTTCTCTGCATAATGACATTTTAGGTGAATCATGAGAAGCATTTTAAGTTATTTAAGCTCTGATATTTAGGTTATTGTCTAGAACAAAACAAAAACTGTATTAAACGACAGAAATAGCAGGTTTGTCATTGTTTGGGTACACTATCAGTTCACCTGCAACACAGTTCTGGAAAGTCATCCTTGTATCTTAGAGCTGTTCTCAGTGTAGTCATCATCTTCACTCTTACTGAACTGATGTGTTTGGGACCCATGAGCTTCATTAAAGACATAAGGCTATTTAAAGCCTAGATGTAGAGAGAAATCATTTTAGTGTATGATATAGTCAGTATAATACACATACAAGCCATATTTTGTAATAAAACCAGGCCACCCAGGCTTATGAAATTATACTCTACTTGTCATCAAATTTAGTTTGATGTTTCAATAAAGAATTTGGGGGTTGGCAGAAAAGAGAAAGAAGAGGAATCTGTAATGACAATATTGTAAGAAAAAAGTCATTATTTAGGCTGTTGACATACTGGTGAGGGAAGAAGTGTGGACACCAAAGTAGTTCATGCTTCGAAGAATTCTGTTATACAACATGGTTGACTACACATCCAAAGTCTTAGAAGCTGAAAAGAGGAAATTTTAGGAGTACAGAAAAAACAAACAAACTTGCATTTAAAAATTGAAACAAAACACCAACAATAGGATTGGCATAAAACTTTGTCAGAAGTGACTGGTAATCTTCAGCGAACAAATAATAGTTCATTTGTCAATGGGACTTATGAAAGACAGAAGAGAAATACTGAGATGCAGAGAAAGCAGGAGGTATTTCAGTTATAATAACACTGTACCAAACAAGGTAGTACAACATCCAGCATGACAGATCAGTAACACAGGAAGAAATCTGAACCTGAGGAAAGGTCATGGAAGGGAAAACTCATCAACTAGAAGAAGCAGAACAAGAAAAGATAGAAACAGCAGATGCAGCAAAAGAAATGCTATACAAATGAAGAAATCCAGAAGCATGAAGAGATGGGGCTATGAAAATGACAGCATTTCAATGGGAATATCTGAGAAGCAAAAAGCTTGATAGAATACTACAGAAAATGCAGTCCATCAGTGTGAAGGTTATATACACTCTAGCACTGAAAAATCGTGCCCTTGTAACCCTGTTCCCTGCAGTAACTTCAGTTTTGTCCCGTATTCGGTCATCCTCTGATTTGTTTCTTTCACATTTATGAAACATACACTTGGATTCCTCCTCTATAACTATAGGTTGACTGACTTGTTACATATACCATGTCTGACTGAAATATGCACATTAGGTGACCATTAAAGAAGCAAAACAAAAACTTTTGACCCTACACAGAAGTCCTACCCACAGCGAGACCAGCAGTTTTCAAGAATCATGCAAGAACCTTAGTGTGTCTTTAAGGTTTCAATGGCTGTTGCATAATCCCGTAAGTAAGTCTAGAATAACAAAATAGTCCATCATTATCTTTGGTTTAATATTAAAAATTAAGTTTACACACCATTTTTTTATCCTCAATGCCAACACTGGAACTCAGTAACTGCATGTTAAAAAAAGCCAAGATACCAAGCAATTTTGGTTGCAGATAATCAGCCTGTGGAAGAAAAAAAACAAAAAACAGAATAAAAAAACAAAACACCCAAATAATATTACTATTAACATATTTCTAAGCTTAAGAAATTAAAAAGAAAGTATGAAATGCTAATTCTGAAAGCCAAATAAAAAGAATCCCAAACAATACACTGCAGTTATGAAACATCAGTGTTAATTCAAGGCTGTGGGTTTTCTTGTTTTGGGAAGATTTTGGGGTTTGTGTCTATGGGGGTAGGTGTTTGTTTTGGTGGGGTTTTTTTTGTTTTTTTCTAATGCATACTTGATACATATCTTCCTAGTATAGGAACACTCAATATGAAATGTCAGCCTTTCTTCCACTTTTGGCCTCAAATTCCCAAAGTAATGTTCAGAAAATGTCAAATTGTGTACTGTCATACTGGAGAAAAACAGATTATTGAACAAAATTGGACGTGAGTATTTTGATGTCCTTACCATTTGATCAGCTGATGTTATTTCTCTAGGTCCCTGATAGGGATCATCAGGAGATGCAAATGAAGCCAATATTGACAAACCGTTGAAGACTTGTTGATAGTGTTCTCCTATACGCAGCAATAATTCATTATGCAGTCCCTGGTAGTCCTGCCTCAGCAAGCTGCCCAGTTCTATCTCGGTCTCGTTCTATAACCAGAGAACAAACAGAAACTGTCTTCATTTCAATCACAATGAAACTAGCACCTAAGAGACAGGAGACATTAGACTCCAGTTGATTTACCATAGAAATAAAAGAAAAAGCTTCCAATCAGTTCAATGTTAGATAAATCAAGCTTTTAGAGATTTCAGGTTTCCAAAACATCTTGCAACAGTTCCTCAGAGCCAGTGTAACTCAGATTATAAATAAGAACAACAAAACTTCAATTTCCCCATCTATGCTTTGTAATACCATAATTTAAATAAAGCAGAAGGCTCACTATTCATCAATTATTGCTCCTAATCTGCATGTATAACAGAGCAAAAGCCAATTTACCTTGAGGTAATGAAGTGCCCGCTCAAGCTCATCCTTGGAGCAGGAACAGACCAAATGAGAGAAGATGTATTTGAAATTATTGATTAAAATCTCTCTTCGGTTTACGTTCAGCTGTTTTGCTATGATTCGAATAAGTGTGGAGGCTGCAGGACTAGCCTTGGCTGCAAGGTCAGGAATCAAAACCTGTAGAGTCCGCTGGTAAATCAAAGACAATGTTTAATGGAAAATACAAACAAAAAAATCCCCAAAACCCCAAGGTTCAAATTTGTTCAATTTCTGTCAGTACACCACCACACATCTCTGGTCATATGTATGACCACAGATATGAATAAAGAAGAACTTTAATAAGACTGAAATATCTAGTGAAAACATAAATAAAAATAATTACTTAAGGATGCGATTTGTTCAAACAACACTGAGCAACATTCAAACAAAGTGAGCTAGCATTTTTTGTGTCCACCCAGATTCTTCACATAGGAAATCTTAGAATTAAAAAAAATAATAACCCCCCCCCACCAAACAAAAAAGCACAACAAAAAACACACCATCCCCCCACCCCCAACATTCACCCAACCTAAGAGCCAACTAGAAGTCTGCTTATGTAAAGGTTGTGCCTTTGCCATCTATCAACAAGTTCCAGCTTGAAGGTACCCTAAGGCTTCAAGTAAAACATACATCTAACCAGACTGAGAAGAGATCTATCCACAGAACAGCCTTTTTCATTTCAATCAAGTAAGCAGACACCATGCAAAAATCACACCTTGCAAAGAACCTCTCCAAGTGTGCTACATCATTAATACAGACAATTAGAGTCTAGCGTACTCTAGATCTTTGTTAATTATCTGTCATACTTGAATTAGCACTGTAGCCATCACCATAACTCATCAATAAAACTGTTCATTAGTATTTGAGCTCCCAGTTGCAGCAATCGACGACCATTCTGTATTATAACAAACAAAAGCAACTACAGAAAAAACAATTCAAATCTGTGACATTCATAGAAAACTGTGGGCTAAAATAGAAATGCACAAGCACACACACACCCCCCTAAAATAATCAAAAGTAAAAAGGATGGACCAACTTACTGAGAGAAAGCGATTTAGATCTGGAAAATCAAATACACTGGCAATATCGGATAACATGTCCAGAGCCATTTCCCTCTGGTGAGCAGCTGTTTGTTTCTGTAGTTCATTACCATGGCATGGAGCACTCAATACTGCCATCTGGCTGGAGTGCAGAGATTCCACTAAAAACTAAGCATGAAGAAATACATATTTACTATTATTCTTCTCTTTTTCATACCCTAAAAATAAACACAAGACTTCTAATCTTCTTTCTAGGCATGTTTTTCTCTCTCTTTATTGCACACAGATCTATTATTTTTACTTTGAAATAGGAATGGATGATCACCCACTTAATAATTGCATTTAATTTTGCAATGCTGGATTCCAGCATTGCATTATTTTAAGAAGTATTCAAAATAAGAAAAGTCTGCTTTTGATAATTTTCTTTTAAACAATATTTCTGTCTTTAGGTAACATGTATAACAAAGAAACAAATCAATCACGTCAGTATTTTTCCCGTAAAACATTTATTTCAGTTCCAGTTTTACATTATAGCCTCTTGTGGCAACGGTACTGCACAATGCAAGAAACTATAGTTCCCCTCTTACAGAATGGCAGAATCTAGGGGATAAAAGAGAAAAGCAGTAATGCTGAGGGGGAGACCATGGCAAAGTCATATTTCTCATTCCTTCCTGAATGTCTGCAGAGTTCTTCTTGTTTGTTTTTTGGTTTGGTTTTTTTTTTTAAAAAAAAAAATCTCTTTCACGTCCTATGGGATTTTAGTTCAGAAAATACTGTCATTTTTACCTTTAACATCACTTTCAAAACACCAGAAAAAGAACCTAAACATATGTCTTCCTAAATTACCAACTCCCTTCTCTTTACCTGACAGATAGGCTTCTTGTACTGACTGAAAAAAGCTTGCAGTTTTATGGACTTAGCCGCCGCCAGAGATCGAATTTCTGTATATGCTGCTCCAGCCACAGAAGCTGACTTAGACAATAAACAGTGTAACAAATGCAAGAGGGCAAATGGTACCAAATCTCCTTTTGATGCCCTTACAAAGTAAGCAGAAAAAAAAAGAATTACAAAGGAAAAAAGAATCATTGCATTAATAAAATGACTTAAGAATACACAATCACCATAATGCAAAATTACTCATTGTAATTGCATCTGTACTTCCTGTGAGAGAGCAGAACAAAATGAGGAATATTCCATATGAATCAACAGCTTAGTACAATTTCAAAGGACTCTGGACAAAGGCTGACCTTGAAATAAGTAATTTAATCTCACAGTTACCCTTGAACAAAAAAGTTACTTTGCATCACAAACTATGCAATTTTCACAATATTACCAAAAAATACCTTCCAATATCTCCTGTTGTGAGAATCAAGGTATCTTTAAGCTCATTATTTCTTGATATTTTGGCATTTGTATAGGCTTCCTTCATTCTTGAAACAAACAGCTGGAACGTGTGAAAACAAACCAAACCAAATAATTTTAGAGTGTTTGACATTAATGAAACAAAAAACATAGTAAGTTAGGAAAAACAACTGAAATTAAATATAAATTCACCTCTTTAATGAATCCTTCTTCAGAGTCTAAGGATTCTAGTATGTTCTTTATGCAGTCACTGAAAGCCACTCTTACATCCTTGTCTGGATCTTCCATTAGATTTAATAAAGACCCAACAAGAACCTTCACACTGGCCTCATCAGTGTTAAAATCGAGATGTTTGCAAAGATGAGGTATATTTTCTATAAATGCTGGGTTGCATGGGTTGGAGGAGGAAAGGAAAAAATATTTTTAATACTTAAAAAAAAATCTATTTAAGTACATAAATAAGTCATAAAGCACACTATATTTTTTTATCAAAAGACTGAATAAATACTGTCAAACCAGACAAGCTATTTAAAATTCAGATTTTATCAAGAATTACACTCCTAGATACAAGCCATATCCCAAAATTAAGCCAAGGTAGTTTTCAAAGAATATCAAAATGACAAATATTAGCAGCAATATCAACTGAGATACAACATCTCAAGCACCATCATAGCTATTAAAAAAAATGGATAAAAGGTACAGAAGTAGTGGCTTAGTACCTCATACGGAAGTGCAAAATGTTAAAAAAGTCACATACCTAGCTTTACTGAACTGGATACTTTGTTCTCAAGGAGAATAAGAAATGGCTTGAATATACAGGCTTGCACAGAGCAAGTTTTTTCCTGAGCTGAAGCCACAGTAAGGCTGCTACATAAAATATCGCAAGTAACACGATTAATAGCAGAGTCTGCTAAAGAAGGTCGTATGCTGAATGTCCCAGAAAGACAGCAAGATAATTTCCCCACTATAGTAGCACAAGCCTCCTTGACTAGCTCAGACTCATCTTTGATTTGATTTCTGAAGAGGAAACAAAAAATAAACAATTTTAATAGATATCTTATGTAGAAATTTCTAGTACTATTAGAACAATACACGGATCTGTCACTAAATCATATTTTTCCTTTTCAGATGACCCTCAAGTTCCATTAAATGTTTGGGCATAGAGTATCTGGCATGTTATAAAGGAACTGAAGACTAGATGCAATAGTACAGAATGCATCTACACAGAGAAACTGAAAAGATTTTAAGTGACACATGCAAATATCATGTATATTTAACTGAAAAATATAGCTCCTTTCTCCTCTTTAGTTTAAATTTATTAATTGGGAATGGGGTCTTCACATAGCAAAGTAACTTGTATACTGACATGGTAAGAAGACACTGTCATACAGACATCATCACTTACACCTATCCTATTGATATCTTAGGTCTTCTGAAACTGAGATCTAGCAAATTCTGGACGAAATAGAAACAAATATTTATTTTTGTGCTTATACTACATTTCTTATTTGTCCATTTCTCTTCTTGCACAAAGACAGGAAAGCAGCACTAACACATAGATTAATACATGCATTAGTACATACAAAAGAGCTTCGGGAATGACAGTGCAGGACTGCCCACTTGGTGGATGAAGCAGGACAGAAAATCCTCTAACACAAGTAGCCCGAATTACTTCATGGGGACTTTGTAGTGCCCAATGATAAATGGATCTTCTCCAATCCAAATGAATGTTTCTTGGGAAGAGAGACAGAAGGAACGCACAGTGTGACTGAGTCTGGGGTGCTAAAGAGAGAAAAAAAAACAAACAAACCCAGAACAAAACAGATAATTACTTGATTTAAATGTTTACTATCGTCAACCATCATAAGAGAGCAAAGAAAGTAATTTTAGTTTAGAACAATCATTCCAGAGAGATATTAAGTTTTATATACTTCATCACACTTACAGAATCCCTTCGCAGTTTTTTTACTCAGAACTAGAGGATCAAACACAAAAGCAGACGGCTTAAAAGAAGAATCATTAGAATGGCTGTAAATCCAGGGCAGAGACAGCAATCCACATAAGTTATCAAGAATTTGATCATTCAGTGGAATTTTCACTAGGGGAAAAAAGAAAAACCAACAAAAATCCCGATATTTTTATAGCTCTATATAGTTTAAAAAACAGATGCACATTTTATGTTCTTAGTCTGCTACAAAATGTTATTTTTCTATCAACAAACATTTGTATCACATTCCCATGCTGATATTCTACATTTTAGACACATAACAATACATCATGTAGTATTACATCAAAATAATTCAAAAAATTTCATTAAACAGTTGACAGCATGTGGTATATGAACGAATACCACTTCAGCATCTCTGGATTTGTACAAAGACTCTCAGGTGGACTTTAACAGCTAGTAAGCTCAACTCATAATAGCACTTCAGACTAGAGTCTGTCTTCCATCCTACTAGCTATTTGGAAAAAGTAGATCAAATAACAAACATGCAAGTACTTAATATTTTTGGTACACTTCCTGCATGCCTGACATTTGCTGAAGCTGGCCAAATCCTTGAGTGAAACAGAGATAGTAAGGCAAATTGCCTCTGTGTTTTAAAAAGAAAACAGCTAAAAGTTCATCTCCTTACACATATCCACTATCCTCGTTTAATTTCCTGTTCAGATGAAAATCAGTAGAAATACAAAAACTAGTAAATCGTGTTCAAAAAGGAATGCAAAGCAAGCTCTTTAATCAGAGAAGAGAGCTCTTTTTTATTATTTAACCTGTTTTGTACAGGAATTAGAGTTCTAACACAAAATTTATAATTTCAGTACTTCTGCCACAAAAGACCAACTTAGTCACATACATTCCTAATTTACAAATTCAACATAAGACATGCTAGTTTAAAGGATTTCTCACCTTGTGCATACAGCAAAGCATCAAAGATTTTCACTATTCTATCAATCACTTGCTGTAGGTTAATAATCTGTGTAGCAGCCTCTAACAGGTTTCTGCAAACTTTCACTACTCTTGTGATAAAATCAGAGGAAATCCATGTGAACTGTATATTCATTGCTGAATCTGAGGAGCTTGGAGTGTTCTTACACGTGTCAGAGTTACATGGATGAGTTTCTTTATGATCTATACTGTTAGAAGAGAAATCGTATGATCAATGCAACAGACTACAAACATTGATTAATGTATTGCTTATAAGGAAAGTTACTACAAAAATGTACTTCCTCAAAATATAAAGGACTTTTGTAATACTTCTCCTGACACATGGTCAAGCATTAAAGTAATCTACACAAATCTTAATTACAAGAAACGGTTAGTCTCACAGGTTCACCTCGGTACCTTTACCTGGTAGAGTTTGTTCTGGGAGAACAATGAACTATGCACAGAGCAGCTAGTCGCAGAACTACAGCAATCCCTTCTACAGTCTGAAGAATATCTGCTGTCACAATTTCTTTCTCAAGGATAAGTATTAAGGATGCAGCTTTCTTTGTGATAGCATTCCATAGAGTGCTCTTCAATTTCATGTTTACAGGACGAAGTCTGTAATTTGACCATATTAATTACTTTTCAGTACATACTTTTTTTCAGAACAGATAAACCATCAGTAAAGACAAATCTATGTTGGATACAGGATTAGGAAAACACCAAATGAAGCTCTATCTTAAATGTCCTCTTTGGGAGAACAAGATCCTAACTCTGTCTCTGCTAGACAGAGGGAGGAAATATATCGAAGGGCCCACGGTTTGAGATAACGGCAGGGAGATCACTGATATCTACCATCCCGGGCAAAACAGACTCGATTTTGGGGAAATTAGTTAAATTTATTAAAGAACAAATCAGAGAGGAGTAATGAGAAATAAAACAGATCTTAAAAAAACCACAATCAATATCTTCCCTCCGTCCCTCCCTTCTTCCTGGGCTTAACATCAATCCCAATTTATCCATCTCGTTCCCCAGAGCGGCGCAAGGGAACAGGGAGTGGGGGATGTGCTCAGTTCATCTGAGCATCTGAGCATCCACCTCTTCTTCTTCCTCCGGGGGAGAACTCACTCTTCTCCTGGGCCACTGTGGGGCCCCTCTCAAGGGAGACAATCTTCACACTTTCTACAATGCAGGTCATCTCACAAGAGACAGCTCCTGACAAACTGCCCTAATGTGAGTCTCTCTCCATGGGGTGCAGTCCTTCAGGGGAAACTGCTCCAGCATCATTCCCCCGCAACATTACAAAGTCCTGCCAGCCAACCTCCCAGCATGGGCTTCTCTCTCTCCACAGGCTACAGGTTCTGGTAGCACCTTACTCTATCACGGCCTTTCCCTGGGACTGCAGCTCCCTTCAGGCATTCACCCGGTCTGGCTGGGGCTCCTCCACAGGCTGCGGGTGGACACCTATACCCTGTCACCTCCATGGGCTGCAGGGGGACAGCCTGCTTCACCAATGGTCTTCACCACGACCTGAGGGACTCTCAGATCCAGCACCTAGAGCACATCTTCCCCTCACTCTTCATCAACCTTGGTGATTCTGACTCCTCTCTCTCTCTCTCTGCCAGTTGTTGTGTGGCACAGTTCTTTTTTCCCTGCTTCTTAAATATGTTTTCACAGGTGTTCCTATTCTGTCATTAATGATAGGCTCAGCCTTGGACAGCAATGGGTCAATCTTTGGAGCTGGCTGGCATTGGCTTTGTCAGACCTAGGGGAAACCTCTAGCAGCTTCTTCCAGATCTCACCACTACAGTCCCCCTGTCACCAAAATCCAGCCAGGCAAACCCAATACATCCATCTTCAAGAAAGGCAAAAAAGAGGATCCAAGGAACTATAGACCTGTCAGCCCAACCTCAGTCACTGGGAAGGTTATGGAAAATGTTTTCCTGGAACTCATTTCTAGCAACATAATGGACAAGATGACTACAAACAGCCAGCACATATTTACCAAGGGCAAATCATGCCAGACTAATTCTACAATGAGACAGGTAGCTCTGTACATAAAAGGAGAGCTGCTTGTTCAGAGCACCTCCACCTCATCTGGACAGAGAACAACGCTTCACAAGAACCTCTGAAGGTCAGAGACACATGAAAGGTCCTGCAACCAGCACAAAAAAACCCCAATGCAACAGTACAGGCTGAGGGCTGATTTGCTAGCAAGCAGCTTTGGAGAAAATGACCCAGTGAACTCATGGAAAAGTTGAATGTAAGTGCAGCGTAACATTGTTGCAGAGAAGATCACCTACAGGCTAGGCTGTCCTATCACAAGTGAAGGTGGCTGATCACAGTCCCACACCTGGAGTACAGCATGCTGGAGCCACTTTTGAGTGCCGAAATATATGAGATCAACGTGCTGGAGTAGGTCCAAGATAATCAGAAAGCTGAAGCACATCACAAGCAAAGACTCAGAAAACGGACTTTGTTCATCTGAGAACAACCTGACTTAACTAGATCTGCTTTAAACATGTCCAGTGCAACAGGACAGCCACATACAGGATTTTGTCATTCTGTATGCCCTCTCAGCTTTTCTGTTTTCAGTGTGTAAAAATTAAAATGATTTGCATTGAAAATACTAAAAATACAGTATCTTTAACTAAAGTTTGGATTTAAAAATCACCTGTAGATTCTGATCCTTCAAAAAATCATTTGGATCTTTTCCCAGATCATCTTTCAATGTGGCTGTTATGAAGAAACCACCTCAAAAAAAGTTGTCATTTGTTATTATTCACTAGCCAAATTACTATAAAAGTAGTTTTTGAGTAAGTGTCATACATTACTGGTGTAGGTGATGTCTTCAGATGTTTTGTTGAGAGGCTTAGTCGTTGTCTTTTCTCTGGGACTTCATCACTGCTGCTGCTCCACTCATCAGTATCAGAAGTATTTACCTGTTTCTGATGAAGCTCCTGAAAGATTTCTTCTGTTTGCGTTTTTAATGCCGTATAAAGTGGACTCACCAGATACTGGGATGGACAAATAACAGAGGTACCATGATGTGTACTGCATCTTACTTTTCAAAGACATGATATTATTATTCCTGACTTAAAATATAAAATTTAAAAATATTATGGTAACAAAGTTGTTAAAAACCTTTGTGTTCAAAAATCTTAATTACAAGATGAAAACTCTCATAAGCAATGAAGTTTCTGTGTTCTTACCAGAGAGAATGCAACTTCTACAGCTGTTTCCCACTTCTTGCTGTAATACCTTGCTACCAAAACCATCAAGACAGACACATTAAGTTTAAGGGACAACAGATATGACACACATGTGGGTGCACAGAGTAGAGGAAACACTCAGCATGGCAACACTTCATTACGGTTTTAAACTAAAAGAAGGCAGATTTTGACTATATATAAGGAAGAAGTTTTTTTCCAATGAGGGTGATAAAACACTGGAACAGGTTGCCCAGAGACATGGTAGAAGCACCATTCCTGGAAACATTCAAGGTCAGGTTGAATGGGGCTCTGAACAACCTGATCCAGTTAAATATGCCCTGCTCACTGCAGGTGGGTTTGGACTAGATGACCTCTAAGGACCCTTTCAGCCCAAAACATTTTATTATTCTATTTTAATTCAAACCTTTCTGTCCTCCACAAATAGGAGTAAAAGCACATGGTTAGAAAGTAAGAGTAGCTCAAATGAAGGGAAATCATTTGAAAAGCTGTGCTTACATGAGCGTACCCCCATTTTATACTATGACCACAGACCCTTGCGTGTGCATAGTTTTTCAATGGTTTCATACATCAAAAAAAACACAGGGTCCAGATACATCCAATTACTTAAAGAATTCTGACCTGTTCAAATACATGAAACAGCTGAGAAACACAGAGTATCAATCTAATCATGCAACTAGAAATTGTATTTCCCACATTTTCTTCTTTGCACAGTTGTATGTTTTTATACATGATCTATTCACATGATAAATACAGTTTTTAAAATTAACCTACCTCTTGTTCCTCCTGAGTTCCAAGCACATTCACAAAAATATCACATATGGTAGCGATATGGATTTTTCTAACTTGTAAGGCAGATTCATAGCCGGCTGGAACAATCTCCAGAAAATACTGCAGTATATGGCAAAAAGCAGCTTGCAGATTTTCAGACTGCAGACAACTAAACACATCACCTTCAAACAATGCGCAGAGCTTCTCTAGTAGCATGTTCAAGTAGACAGGTTCAATATTTTTGTAAGAATCCGGTTCAAAAGGCAACAATGTCCTCACCAACAGTAAGAGTGGTTCTCCAAAGAACTCTGATTCTTCAGTATGCATTTCAAGTGTTGATTGCAGAGTTTCAAAAAAGACTGTGAAGAAAACACTGGCAAGCTGTTCTGGAGGTCCACCTAAATGAATTAATTTTACTAAAAACTTCACAGCCAAAGCTTTAACTTTTTGACTGCCATACTCCAAAAGGGAGCAGCCTATGCTCCAGAGAATAATATCTTGTTGTACAAAAAACATATCTGCAACAATATCTGTCAGAATAGATGTTAAGATAACTTCAAGACAGTCTACATTGGGCATACCCATCAGTTGTAATGGTGCCAATCTTAAATAACCCATATCGTCACTTGTATTGGTTGAAAATCTCTCTACAGTCATTGGCCAGACCAGTCCATCTTGCCCGAGATGCTGTCGTGTATCTCTTTCATGCAGGAAAATTAAGTCTTGGAAAAGCTGTAGCAAGTCTTTTGTCAGTGCTTCAAAAATGGAGCAATTCTTCATTTTAAACAGAAAAAGTAAAGAACAAATGACATCACAAATATTTTTGTGCAATGTGTTGCAGTTTGGAGTGGCAGCAATTCGGAGAAGCCTTGTTATGATCCAGTTACTAAAACCTAGGACAATAAAAAGGAATCACTCAACAGAAACTTATTAGGATAAAAAAAATCTTGTATTACAAGTACCTCCTTGAAAGCAGACCGCTCACCAATAAAACAGAAGAAAACTCCTTGAGATTAATGCACGTATGCTCACTAAACAGGTAGCTTTCACTGGGACATGAAAAAGAGGAAAAGGTGAGGGGGAAGCATGCATGGGAAGGGGAAGGCATTTTACAATGGGTTGTTCAGCATTTTCCTCTATCAAAAAAACCCTCAGGAAAGTAATATGTGGACAGAGTATCTCATAAAAAAGAACAAGGTAGTATCACTAAGCAATGGTAATTAATAAGGTCAAACTCTGTCCTGGTAAATTTCCATTATCACAAGTGCAAATCAATTCACAATTTTAGAAATCTATGATAATACTCACTTACTTATAAATATGTAACATTGAACTTATAAATCTGCCCTTTCCCCATTTTTGTTCTTTTGTTTGATCCTATTGTCAAAAAACTTAAAACCTGAAAATACCAAACTTTAAAATGAACATTCTCAACAAGCTCACCAATGCAACTGGACTCAATTTCCTCCTGATTTCCATCCACATTTACAAACATAAGCGGGGAAGATTTCATGATATGCTGAATAAAATCAAGCAACATCACAGAACTTGGCTGCGAATCCGATTTCTTAATCAGTTCCAAAGCAACTTTAAGAAAAAAAGGAGACAAAATTAGCACTGCCACAAATCAGCTTTACAAATTTTGTTCAAGCCTAAAGAGAAAGAAGTATTTTTTTTTATACTAAATACTCTGATTTGGTATTAAACCTGTATAATTGTCAATTGGGATAAAGATCATCTTGTAAACCAAACTTTAAAAAATATAAATTGCTCAGCTTAAATACCGTTCACGAACACTATGCAGGAGTATTTAGAAAGTGTTACTTCAAGCTGTTTGATGAACACCAAACAGTTAACAATTTTAATTTTTAATCACACAATTTTCCCTAGGTTTATGATCTTGGTATAAAAAAAAACCACCAAGATTTGTTCTAAATCTCCAAGAAATAGGAGCTTTTAAAGGGTAAGTTCAGTTTATTGCATCAGAAAGTTTAGCAAAATACTAAACATATCTAATGCTGCTGTATAGCTTCACTGAAATATCAAATTTATTCAAATTCTACCTAGTTAGTCAGAACAGGAAGGAAATTCTCTCAGATTCAGATAGTAATTAACCAGAAAAGTTATGATAATGGTATGGTAATGATAAAGTACAACACTTATGTATTCAAAACCAGTATCTAAAGCAGTTTGGCTTTTTGTTTTTATTTTTATAGCCTTCACTTTCAGGACTAACACAGGTATGATATTTAAATTTGAAAAAATAAGTTACCCTTACTATCGTTCTCCTTGATGCAAATGTACAGATAACTACAAATGATACTTCTGTAGAATATGTATTTCCTAATTACCAAAACATTCTTTAAGTACTACAATACAATAATTGGAACTTCAAAACGATCTAAGGAGTACTAAAATAAGGCTTTTTTAGAATTCTAAAATTAAAAATAAAGTATTTACATCAAAGTATTTCAATTCTGAAAGATCCTGTATTAAGACTTGCAAGCTACATTACTCAGCGAACAATCACATTACATGATAGTCCCGATTTTCATTGTTCCAAGCACTTAAATTCATACAACCTCTGCACTGTATTTTTTCTTTTTGTGACTTGTTACTTCACATCATAACAGCAAATATTTCAACAAGAAAGTTATTAAAAATGAGTCATAAATAGTATTGCATTTAACTGTTAAACCTTTTGTTTAGAATTGTAACTATTCGGGGGGCAGGAATTACTTAACATATAAAGCAAATACTAATCTTAAAAATTAGGAAGGTAATACTTACCAACATCTACGTCTGTAAGAATTCTGTCAATAAACTGGCAGAGTATTTGCCTTGGTTTCTGCACAACTGTATTGTATTGTTCTGCACTAGCACTAAAATTAAAAGTAATTATTTTAGCATTATCAACTTTAAAATAAAAACACAATGTCAACCATAGATTATTTTTTTTCTTCTAGAAGTCTTCAAAATGAAATACAAACTGATTTTTTGGTGTAGTGACCAGCATATTGTCTGTTCCTCTTTCTCCTTATTCTTCAGAAGTTCAAATTTTTATGAAATGTTGAAAATGGTTTAATTTTGTTTTGTTTGATGTATTTTAAATGTGCATCAGGCAGACTCCTACCAAGCAATGAACGAGCTTTTGTGCAGAAGAAAAAATTAAATAAAATAGACAATCCATTTTGCTTTTGATATTAACCAAATAGCTACCAATACCCTGGATGAAAGATGACCATAGCAACTGCTCAGGCGACTTAAGATGACAATCAGCTCTTATCAGGTCCAATCGTCAACATACAGTTGCACCTCCACACCAACTAGCTGCCTACCAGAAAACAAAGCTGCAGCCCTGACGCTGCCATTAAAACTTTAGAGCCAAACATTTTCAAGGCCGTTTAGTCCTCAGTGAAACCACACTAGGAGCACAAGAGCGTCCCTGGGCGCTGTGCGGGAAAACACCCTTCTCTCGGCAGCTCCAGCAACACCAAGTGGGAGCGAGGGAGCAACCCGGGCGGGTGGCGGGCAGACAGGGCGACCAGCCCGAAGGGAGGGCGCAGGCCCAGCCCCGGGAGACCTCGCACAGCAGCGGAGGAGAAACCGACTTTTCCACCTCCTCACGCATACCGAGGCCGGGCGCACTTTCTGGACCACAGC